CGCAAGAATTTCTTTAATGAAAACCCAGCTGGTCTCAATATTACTCCAAGAGAATTTACTAAAAAAAAGAAAATCTGTCAAATCAAGTCACATAATTAACAGACAAAATAAACTCTAACGAGGCCATTATAAAATTGCATCTTACTGGAAATTAATTAAGAATTCACAGATCTATTAAACTTCCTTCTGTTCTTCATGCTTGCGAAACTTGACAACTTACATTATGAAAAGTGAAAATTAAGAAAAGCCTTAATGCACTTTAAAATAAAATATTATTGTGTAGAGTGTTGTACTACAACTGGCGTTTTCACAACGCCGAATCGCGAAGACTAGACCCAATAATACAATCGATGCGATAAAGATTCAGCGAATGAAATGGACTAATTAAATAATCAATACTGATGAGACTAAGAAATCAGTATAAGGGTAGTCGGCTAAGAGCCAATGGGCAAATATTCTAGGTTTCGGCCGAAACGTGGAAGGGAGTATCTGAATTCAGTTATAATTCAGCAGTATCGTAATTAACCTCGAATATAATTCGAAGCAAGCATACAGAATTATATTGTCCGTGGTACAGGCTCCTTTTTAACAAATTACTAACAGCCAGCTGAAACTTCGTAAATTACTTCATCTCATCGTAACCTATAACTATTTCATTTATGAAAATTCTGGGAATTGGGGCATTTTAAATCTACAAAATAAAATCTACTTTTAAAGTAAACACTACAAATCCGTTCATGGAAATTTTTATTTATCGGTTAAGTGAATTGGCGCAAAAAAAAAAGAAAAAAAATAGAACATAGTATGGAGTATATTAGTAGGAATCGTCCAAAAGAAAAGAAAAATGAATCGCCCTGACAGTGAACTTGAAAGATAAGACCCGCTGAGGGGAATTATCTACCACGTAAACTGTCTCTAGCAATCGAGCACGAATTTAATGTTGCTAACTGTTAATAAAACGTCACTCATCTCGCTGATTGTATTGTAAAAATGTTGAATTGCTTATAAACTCACTGTTTACAAAGTCGGAGAACAGGACTTGAGATAATACACACATAACAAACTAGCAAAGACGGAACGATACGAATAGTAAACTTCACTTTCGGCCATGACACTTGCGACAGTTTGAACCAATCTTGTAATTTAAGTGATGTTGCAGAGTTAGGGTCTGTGTAGGGTCTTGATGTTTTTTGAGAATTTTTGTTTCGTCTGCATAAGTAGCTGTCAAGATCTCACCGTTAATAGGTAAGTGTATAAAACCTAAAGTATAGAGGCTAGTATTGAACCTTGGAGAACTCCTACCTAGATTGGACGGACTGAAGAAATTTCAGAACCCTGCCGAACTGAAAAAAAATCTATCTAAGAGTAAAGATTGAAGGATAAGATAGTATGTGTATGGCCGTATAGTCTAAAGTTTAAAGAAAAGCTCTTGGTGCCAAACTGTACCAAACGCCTGAGCAACATCCAAAAATACTGTAGTTGTATATAGTTTTTGTTCTAAAGCTCCAGCAATGTAGTCTTTTACTCTGTGTAATTGATGTGTCATCGAATGGAATGTGCGAATTCCGAATTCCGAGGAGGAAGGACTGTATATGTCTTTACTTGGTTTGTGGATCATTTTAATTAGTGAGTATTTCCACTGTAATGGGAATTTCGATGTTCTTAGTATACAGTAGTGAATGGTTGTCAGAAATACTAGAGCTTTGTTGGGCATTTGTTGGAGTTCATCGGCAGTTATTAAGTCATAACCAGGAGCTTTTCTTTTAATTGTGTGGTTTCGAGGGCAACCTGAGATGGAGTTAAAGAAAGAGGTAGTAGTGTCAGCTGAAGTGGGATGTATCTAATGTATTAAGTACTAGAGTCTCATGTTCTGTGAATTTATAAATGGTTTAAATATAGAAGAATGGTGGTGAGCGAAGAGCTCAGATTTTTCCACATCCGACACGGCCCAGGATCCATCTTCTTTTTGGAGAGGTGCTGCTCAGCTTTTAGCTCTCGGCGATTTTACAACTTTCTTCTATGATTACATTTAATTATTTCGGTATTAGATACAAATAATTATGTTATTAACTCGAGTTGTTTACATAATGGTAGAACAATCCTATGTTTCCCAACTGAATAGTGAGTTAAAGTGGCTTTTCCGCTCTTCCGCCGGCGATACTTGGAAATTTCCTGAACCAAGCCATCAAACCCCAGCACCCTTCCTATATCTAACGTCTTATTCACCTCAAACCCTCAGTTCATTCGCAGAAAACAAGATCACGTGTCTCTGACCTCTATATTCCCTCCCATAGAACTAAATCCTACGAACGTTCCTTCATAGTCCGCTCCGTTACCTTCTGAAATTCTTTACCATCTGACATCCACTATGCCTCTTCCCTGTTATCATTCAAATACCTCATTACATCCCAAACAGACGATATACAAACGAATAATTGATATTCATGAATTGAATTTCATAGAAGTGAATAGTTGTGCCTACTGTTTAATTGCTAACATTAAAAATCAATGCCTCTTCTCTGACTTTTTTTCGTTTAGCCAGGTTTTTTTTTTTTTTACTTCTCTTTACTCGCATTGCAACAATAACTATTCTTGAGAAGATTCTATTTTTATTTTTTAATATTCACAGATTGTTTTTTTAAAATTACTGTATATATTATAATTTGTATTAAGTTAGCCCTTTGCATATGTTTTTCCACCAGAAATATTTTTCTTTTCACTAGGTTTTTGATTTTTCTTTCTATATATAATGTGAATATATTTTTTGTTTTTGTTTCGCATATTATAACTATAACTATTTATTTTTCGGTTGGCTCTACAGACCTTGTAGATCTTTGGCCGCCTGAACCAGCCTTCTCCAACTCTGCCTATCTTGGGCTACTGCTTTCCAGTTTGCGGCGTGAAGCTCAGCGGTCTCTTACCTACTATTCTGACTTTCATTGTTTTGTACTGATGGATTGCTACGAGCTACATGCTCCGCCCATCTTAACCTCCTTGCCTTCATGTCATGAGATATTGACTGATCTGTTTCTTTCAGCAGTTCTTTATTGTTCCTTCTCCTCCATGTGTCTGTTATCCTACGTAGAACTTTTCTTTCGAATCTCTCAATTCTGGATTCTGGTGTGCCGTTTAGAGTAATATATATATTTCTCTAAATATATTTCTTGACTATAATATATATATATGTGTGTGTGTGTGTGTTTTAGTTGTTTACACATTATTATTTATTACTTATTATTTAAATTTATATATTGTAAGAATTTTATTAAGTTAGTCTTTGGCCAGATTTGTATATGTTCATCATTGTAATTCTGAGGGGACTTTGTTCCAGAATAAAATGTCTTTTCTATTCTATTCTATTCTAATATATAATATTATTTCATACATTTTTTAAATATTTGTGTCGAAAAATGTATATAACGTTTACTAAAAATATTTGTTATATATTATTTATATACGATGCAAAAAATATACATCAAAGTGTTATTAAAATAACTGTTTACGTGACTTTTTCACTGTTACTATGAGTTTCTAAAATTACAATATCTCTGGCATCATTCCGGTGTCAACTCACATTTAAAGAAATGGAGATAAAAAAAAAAGTTTTAATATTGTATACCTTAAGGAAAAATTACAAATTTATGTAGTAGATCCATTTTAAATTAGATATGGTGATAATATTTCTATGAACGAATTGAAAAAAAAAACCGTTCACAAATTAATTTGTCAATTAATTCAAATTAGTTTTTCTCAATAATAAATTTCAAATTTCATAGTTTTCAACATTTTTTCTGCTCGTATACATTGGTTCATTGTATATCTGAGAGCATACACTTTTATATTTTTTTAATAGTTCACTACCTTTTGTGTTTCACTACCGTTCAAATAGTATGTATACACACACACACACACACACACACACACACACACACACACACACATATATACATATATATATATATATATATATATATATATATATATATATATATATATATATATATATATTATATATATATATATATAATATATATATATATATATATACATTTTTTTTGCTATATAATAGTTCATTTAGTAAATCATTTTTTTACATGACAGATGTAATTTTTCGGTTAGGATTCCTTATAAGATAATTTAACCTTTTTTAAAGTATTGTTTTATTTTAGCGAAATGTTTTAACAATTTTCCTCGTCTGCTTTTTTTATTTTATTTTATTTTTATTTAAACGCTAAACATATACATATATATGTATATGCTTAGCGTTTATAACTAAACGCTTTGCTTAGGAGATATTCACACCTAAAGATTTTCGTTGTTATGAATTACTTACGTTGTATTAAGTAAATAAAACTTATTTATCTGTTCTAACTACAAAAAATAAAATAAAATAAAAAAAGCAGACGAGGAAAATTGTTAAAACATTTCGCTAAAATAAAACAATACTTTAAATAATGTTAAATTATCTTATAAGCAATCCTAACCGAAAAAATACATCTGTCATGTAAAAAAATAATTTCCAAATTGAACTATTATATAGCAAAAAAAATATTCATATATAAATAAATATAAAAAAATAGTTATTCATGTCCTGAGAGATAGGAATGAAACAATCATAGTGGTAGTAGTTTATTGTAAATTCTGAAAAGCCATCGTATACTATTGATAACTAAATAAATAAAGTAAAATCATAATGAGATATGTATTTATATATATCGTCGATACAATTGCTAACTATTGAATATGAAAATATGAAACATTTTCAATCGTTAATTAAATATAATTAAAGACCGAATATAAAATCTTCAAACATTCATAAAACCACATATTATTGCAGAAATCAACACATCTTCGTACTTTGGACTGAATTGATACAATTCATTGGATTGAATACAATAGCGATTTTCATATTAGATAGTTAGCATTTGTATCGACGAATATATATATATTTTTTTTTTTTTAAATTATATTATTTAATATTTGCTATATTGATTACTTACTGATGGTACAGGCGTAGTATTGCCTCAACGTCCCTCTTCCCATCCCTACTCTTTGGTGAACTCCACTGAACTGAAGACGGGATATTCCACTGCTCGCATAGTGGGAATAGAACTACTCCTAATGATCTAGCAGTTTTGTAGTGATTTGTAAATGATACAGAGTTTTCATTAGGGTAGAATCCCACACAAATCGAGTTTGTCTCTATATAATTTTCATAATTTTTTATTCTTATTTTTATTAATTATATAATATAACATAAAGTAATATATAATATAAAGTCTCGGTTTTCTTCCTTTTTTTCCAAAAAATCTTTATAAGATTTTCTTGAAATAACTTAGAACAGATATTCCAAATCATCAACCTCGTACTAACAGGCAAGGAGCTACCGAACATTTAACTAAAGCGCAGCTAATAATCATTTAAAATTTTGGATAAACCTTATCTGAACACATAACTTCGTTCAATCATTCACATTTAGGTGACAAAATTTGTAGTTTAATTGAATGGCAGAACTGCCTGTTGAAATTGGATCCTAAAACGTCAACTATGAGTAATATGTAACAAATACAAAATTTGTTTCATTCATTAAAGTTTTCAAATAAATTCAACAAAAGAAGGAAAGAAGTATAATTATTTAATTTTTTAGATAAAGAAGTAGAAGAAAAAACAAACAAATACTGTTGAGATATAGATAATACTTGACTGACAAAACGAAATTTCTACGGTCGAAGAATAGGAAGAAGGTACTTAAAAGGAGATGGATGAGAGAGCTTCATTTCAACTTGAAACTTAATCAAGCCTGTGAAGAGATCCTTCTAACCTTTTTCATTTCCTTCTGCTATTATTTCTAATTTTAAAGAATCTGTATGAGAATGTGTCTACACTATATACAATGGACTAGTATCGATTCGAGAAATCGAATCAACTTTATATACAGTCATTGAAAAATTGGAAAGTTTTTAAAATTGACTATACCATTTTAAAACACAAAAATTCCATATAAATTGCAATGATTCTCGAGATCATCTTAGATAATATGGTTTCCATGGGGTACCTATTAAATTTGAAGTTTTTAAAAATCGAAATTTCGCTATTTACGATAGTCTTCGACGATATAAAAATCTATTGATAAAGTAAATGGAAGAAAACAAAAGTTTTTGCAATAATTTGAAGAGAATGATGTTTGGATTTCACAAATGAAAAATTCATCAAATTATTCACTAATTTAATTTTTTTAAATGTTACATGACGATTTTTCGGAATAAACAGACGTTGATCCCTAATTATTTAAATATAATATCAGATCTAGAGTTATTAAACTACATTAAATGCATTTAAAGTTTTGAAAATATGCTTTATACATCCATGAAATATGTTTATATTTCACTTCTTCTTTCACACAAATACAATGAAATGGTTTTGTAAACAATGGTATTGCTTTGATTAGGTGTATGTTAAATACTTTTTCAAACTAGAAAATATTTTATATGTTTACTTTTAGTTTCAACACTGTCATCACCACCTATGTCGATGGCACGTTTATCCTATCAGTTAATAATGATCCATCTATTGCATCCCAAACTCTTCAATCACACATCACAAGTCTTGAAACATGGTGCCAAATTTTTTTTTTTTTTTTTTTTTTATTGACAGAAAGAAAAAATACATTTTGCCTCAATTAAGGGCATTGAGTAAACGGTGTCAAAACTGGAGGATTAAAATAAATTCCATCAAATTATCATTACTCTTCGTCGTAAACCTATGACTTCCTGTCAAACAGTGTCCTTCAACAATATCCCACTTATCCCTGTTGAACAATTCCGATACCTAGGACTCCACCTGGACAAACGTCTAACTCGGAATGCTCATACCCGACTGAAACGACTAGAAACTTCTAGACGTTTTCGACTACAGCAACACTTACTACACAAACATTATTAACTTCCAACTATTTACAAAAGACTCAACTATATTACTATTGTTTATAAAACTTTTCAATTTTTAATTAAGGCAAGTCAAATAAATCTCGTGAGTTCTTAATAGACAACATTCTACTTTTATACAGAGGACTATATTTTAATGGATTGGTAGGTTATACTGATTGTGCAAAAATAGCTTATCATCTTAGGCCAACTTACATCTCTTTATTACCTTGAGGGTTCCCTTGGAGCATCTGCTATGGCTGTCTGTGTTGATCAGAGGCGAGAAAAACCCAGCAGCTCGTGCGGATTAGGTCTTATCTTTTAGGTCTTCTGATCTGCCCCCACCACTCGCCGTAAAGAGGGAAATTTGAACCATTTTCACACAAACAACTATAGTAAGGCCTATTTGGACTTACTGGATCGAGCTTTCGGGCTCTACTAAACCATCAAATTCCTCTCGTATCCAATCTTTACAATCCAATATCCTTCGTAAAATCTCCAATGCTCCCTACTTTGTGCCAAATAAAATCATCCATAACGACCTTAATGTACCATATGCTTCCGATTTAGCTCAATCCATATACCTATCCTTCCATAATAAACTTCTGAACCAACCGAAACCTCTTTTTCCAACCTTGCTTCCTTTTCTATTGCCGATGATCCTCCGAGGCGTCTGAAATGAAGATGGCCTTAGAACTTTCTAGAAACATAATTTGAGTGCTGCCAATGGGTAGTTTCTCTTCATGTTGTATATGTAATGTTACTTATTTCATATTTACTTGTTGTATTTATCATTTAATAAAGTTGTAAATTTCAATAATAAATAAAAAAAAAAAAAACATTTATTTATTAAAGTTCATTTAATTTCCTTGAAAACATGTGATTTCCGTTAAATAATATTATTTTTCACAAATTATCACTCATATTTTTTCGTCACTCTTCATTACTTTCTATGTTAGGTATTGTTTTTTCTAAAAGGTTCCGCTTTCCAACGATATATTATTCGTATACCTTCTGACTAGAATTTCCGGAAATCTGTTTTTGACCTAAATAAACATTTTCCTTTTTTTTTTTTTAAATTTTAAATACTTTCTAAAGTTATATTCGGCATTTTTTCTTAAATCTTAATAATAAGAGATGGTTAATTATTTAATATAAACCTAATTAAAGGTACTTTAGAAGTATACATGATGCACATTCGACAATTAAGCCTTGTGAAGTGACATCATAGGATCTAAATGATATTAAAGAGCACTTAATTATACATTCATACACCGAGTTTAATCAAAATCGTTATAGCCGTTTATGAGAAAATCTTAAAAATTTGTTTAATCAATTTTATAAGGTGCCACTTCCGGTTATTTGATTAGAATGAAAATGTTACTTTCACATCCAAGGCATAAAACTATATTAAATTCGTAATATCTTCGTAAAACTTTTCGTTTTTGATTAAAATTACCACATAACATACACACAGACCATTTTGCGGGACTTGGTTATTTAGACTCAGGGGATCTGAAGACTAGTATTTTCGTTAAAACTCAGTTTCTATAATTTTCACGATTGCAATACTTTCCCTTACTATATATTACATATATAGTAAGTGAAAGTAAAAACTATAAGGAATCAGAACTGCAAACTTGATATGTGGATGGATCGATATGGAGAAAATTGCGTTTGATTGGAAATTGAGAAGATTTCGACAGAGCCCGGTAAAGTTATTTCGGACAATGCACTTTCACAAAAATGTTGCTTTTTCGAGATAATGTGTAATTCATTCCGAATGCTTTCTCGATGGAATGATTGTCGTAGGAATGGACTTGATCCGTAACAACTATTAATATTAACATTTATTTAATTTAATCATTTAATCATTCATTGATCTTTCTCATGACCTTTATCAAAGCTTTAAGGGACAAAGCCCTAGATAGCTAGGTCAAGCTATCTCTGATAGCTTAGAAATAGTTATCTAGAATGTATTGACTGGACAGAAGACACTTATCAAGACTTAGGGAAACAATAACCCTTTTCAGCAAAAGAGCACTTTCTCACAGACTTCATATCAATTATAAAAGATAAGGATATCAATTCTTAATAACTATAAGTTCATTCACACGCTTCCTAGACCGACCAGAATTGATTCATCTATCCTGCTAAGACCAAACCGCTTATTCAGTTGCATTCTTGAGTCAGACTCTTCACTGTAGGAGACCTGGAGTGAACTGATGTAGTCAACTCATATATCCATACTACATTATTTATATTATATTTTAGATGTCATTTGTAACATTATGAATAAAGACATTACTTCTAAAGTCTCCACTGTCTCCGTTTCGTTAACTGTAGGATACTTGGGAAGACAATCATATTTTGTTTAGACTTTAAAAATTAATATATTGCTATTTATAATAGGCTACTACAAACTAATATTCCATCAAACAAATAACCTAAAGAACATAATTCTGAGGCCCGTAGGGCACGTTTTGAGTATAATATACATTTTGAGAATACGTTGAGTATAGTGTTCCCCTGAAGATATATAGTTCTAAATTTTTTGAACAATTAATGTAAAGTCAATTAGTTTTTTTTTGTGAACTTGCACTCTCTATGATTTCTTCTAGTGTTCTTGTCTCTGTACACCATTTCTTTGATAGTTCTTCATCAATTAAATTGAAATTCAGGAAGACTCCCCAGAAAAATCAGGAAAAAGTAATGAATCGAAGGAAACTTTATTTGTGCATAACTCATAATTTATGTGGACCGTATAAGTGTGTAAGTGAATTTTTTGAAAAAATCGAGTCATATACGGGATATGGCAGTAAAAATGCTATTATTGTGAGTGGCAAAAAGATTTGAGTGGATTTATTGAAAGGTGCTGCTCCCTAGTTGAGAGTCGCTAAACCAACTTGCAGATGTTCATTTCTTGAAGCGCTATAGGCCTTGGTATCACTTGAATCCCTTTACATCTGCCTGATTTTGCATTATGACAGATTGTTGCAGATCACATGGTCAAATATCAAATAGTTGCAACATTCTAAATAAATAAACATGTCGTATAACCAGTGGCGGACTTAAATATTGGATGCCTCCCACAATAACGTCATCCTCTCCTAAAAAAATTAGTTTATTTTTTAAACTGTTTTATATTTAGCCATATTTGAATTTCA